GACAACACTAACAAGTTGATGTGGAAGAGGATACCTGGTGGCAGGTAGGGAGGTTAGTGCAGACCAGGAATGGCAAGAGTGTGGGGAAGGGTGCTCTGGGCAGAGGGAACAGCAAGTGCAGAAGTCCTGATTTTGGAATGATCTTGGTGTGTTCAAGAGATAGGGCGACTGGAGAGTAGAGGTCTGAGATAAAGTGGGGGGGGGGGCGGGGGTTCCCTGCAGGAACTTCTGGGCCACGCAGCTGTTTCACTGGTTTCCCCAAGAACAAGACAGATATTTTGGAGTCAGGGAAGGGGCGGGGAGACAGGAGAAAGGGAAAGGCCAGCAGGCCTTGAATTGGGCAGAGGGAAAACCCAGGGTCAGGAAAGCATAACAAGGGAAGAGGAGAGGTGAGTGGGAAAAAGTGGGGGCCCCATCTCACCTGCCTGTGAAGACACCATCAGGCTGGAAGCCGGGACCCAACTTGTAATCACAGCCCAGTGCTCCTTGCCAGGCATCCTGGGCTGAGTTTCCTTGGAGGTTACTGGGGAGGAGGGGGAGACCCTTCAGAGCAAGTATAGGTGTGAGGGTTGAAGTTTGGAGGCCATTGAAGGATGGGCAGGTGACCCCAGGGTACAAGCTCACCAGAGAAGGACTTTTGCATCCTGGAAGCCAATGGGCTGAATGGGAATTGGGGGAAATCCAGGGACAGTGGCAGGATCCAGACGGAAGGAGGAAGGATTGGCTGGAAGGTATGGGGTTAGGGGGTCCCCAAAATACTCATAATAGGAGCCTCGCTCCACCCCTGAGGGAGGCAGGTGCCAGGAGTGTGGGAAGGTCTCATTGGGCAAGCTCCGCCCATCGTTGATATCTGCGGGGTCTGTGTACACCAGTACCCCAGCCACCTTGAACTTGGCAGCGTTCACAGCCTACAAGAAGAGGAGGAAGAGGCTATTTTTAAAGAAGGGGTGAGGAGGGGGCACGCCCTATTTTGCTTGCTCGCTCCCTTGCTGTGGAATCCAATATAGATCTATCTGCCCACTGGTAGGATGATGCTTGCACAAGTCATTTATTGCAGTGCTGCTTGAGATAGCAAAAGGCCGTTGGCCTAGGCAAGCCAGTGCCTCTAAGTTGGGGCTGGTTGAATAAACTGATGCATCCTACAAGGGAATACTACGCAGCTGTATAAAAGAACAAGGCTGTGCTTATACACTCATGTTCATAGTAGCACTGTTCACAATAGCCAAAAGGCAGAAACAACCCAAGTGTCCAACGACAGACGGATGGATAAGCAAAATGTGGAGTATAACATGTAAAGGACAGGAGTATAACATAAAAAGGAAGGAAATTCTGATACAACATTGATGAACCTTGAAAACATAATGCTAACTGAAACAGGCAGATACAAAAGGACAAATAAATATATGATTCCCTTATGTGAGGTCCCTAGAATAGGCACATGCATGGAGAAGAAAGTCGAATAAAATTTACCAGGGGCTGGAGACAGGGAAAGAAGAATTAGTGTTTAATGGGGACAGTTTCCTCCGGAATGATGGAAGAGTCCTGAAAATGGGTGGTGGTGATGGTTGCCCAATTTTTGTGAATGTTCTCAATGCCACTGCAGTGTACACTTAAAGGTGGTTAAAATGGTAAATTTTGTTACATATATTTTCCACAATAAAAACAAAACGGTACCTCAAAAAAAAAAAAAAAGCAGAACAAGGACAGAGTTTATGTACCAGTTGAGGATGATCTCCAGGATGTATAAAGATGAAAAGAGCACATCTCAGAACAGTGGGCCTAATATATTACTTCTATGTAAAAAGAGGGGGAAATAAGACTATATTTCATATGTGCTTCTTCCAAAAGAAGCTCTGCATAGATAACCCATAAACTAAAAAAGAGTGGTGATCTCTTGGGAAGATGGCATCATGGGAGAACTTTTTCACTTTATACAGTTGTTTGTTTTTTTTAACTGGAAATTCTACAATCTGTATAATTCCACTCTTCCTGTTATCCTTTCTTTTTTCTTTTTTTTCCTGTTCTTTTCTTTCTTTCTTTCTTTCCTTTTCTTTCTTTGTTTCAGTTCTTATCATAGATATTTCTTTAAAAACTTGGGTTAAGTACACATAACATAAAATTAACCATCTTAACCATTTTAAAGTGTATAGTTCAATGACACTAAATACATTCACATTATTGTCTACCATCGTCACCATCCATCTCCAGAATTCTTTTCATCTTGCAAATCTGAAACTCTGTCCCCACAAACACTAAATCTCTCTCACTCTGTATCTTTTTATATTAAAAAAAAAATTTTTTTAACCTTAGACATGTAATACTTAGTCAAAATTTTTAATTGAAAAGAAGCAGGTTGTGGGGAGGGGGGGATAACAGGAGGCACTTAATTAAATATTCAAAAGAACTACTTCACAGGAGGACTTAGACTCCCAAAATATCAAAGCGGAAACATGTGCCCAATCCCTTCATTTCCTAAGGCTCAGAGAGATTAGGGGGAGGCACCCAAGGTCACACAGCACATCAGTGGTACAGCACACATACAGCTCGGCCCACCACTCAACACTGCTCCTCCTGTCCCTCACTTCCTCCTGTCCACTGCCCAGCCCCTCTCCCCACCAGGCCCCCTGTGTTGGGGGCTGCTGCTCACCTTGGCCCCGCGTCCTACACCTCCATAGCGGGTCAGGGCAATGGTGCCGTTGAGTTCAATGCCTTGAGCCTGTAGCTCCTTAAAGTCATCTTCCGAGCCCCGGTTGGCATAGACAAGGAGGCCCTAGTCCCAAGAAGAGGTGATCCTTAGAGCCAGGCCCGGGAAAGACAGAATGAAGAATGAAGAAAGGAGAGGGAAGACCGGGTGGCAGGATAAAGGGTTTAGATTCTGTTTCCCCACCTCACCCAGAGCTTGTAGGCTCCCCAAGGACAGAGTCACACCTGGTTCCCTCTGTGTCCAGGTACCCCGTATCAGGCCTGGCCTTGGGCAGAGGCCATTAGCATTTATTGAGTGACTAAGTGATGGATGAAAGGAGTAGCAATGGGGTGTGGAGGTGAGTGAATTCTGGGGATGGGGGCACTGAGCCCCAGTTGAGGCACTTTTCCTCAACCTTCCCTGAGTCAGGATGGGAAAGGCTGGAGTGGGAGCCAAGGGGAGCTGGGCCATGGCAGTACGGAGGGGGTGTTCCAGGCCCACCTGTGGGGTTCCGGGGGGAGCGTAGGCAGCATAGGGTGGAACCACATCAGGCCCTCCCTGCTCCCCAGTCAGGTTCTCTTCACTCTGGCGACAGGAGTAGAGGATGTCCCCAGTGGGACCCACTGTGGGGGAGGGGGGACGGGCAGTGTCAGGGCTGGGTCCCACAGCTCCCCCACCCCACAGGCACCACTAAGCCAAAGCAGGACTTCACCAATGGCTACACGGTTAGGCTGCTCCTGGCTGGGGAAGGACAGCAGCACTTCATACGTGGAGGCCTTAGCCGAGTCCAGGCCTGACTCTGGGTCACTCCAGCGCTGCAGCAGCAACTGCACCAGGGCCTCATCCCGAGGGCTGGAGGCCAGGTGCGGCTCCCTGGAGAGCTCTCTGCAGGGTGGGCGGAGGGAGGCGCAGGCCAGGGGTCAGGAGGGGCCTCTGGCAAACAGAAGGGGCAGGTAGACAGACCTCTCACCTAAGGTTCTCCCGGATCCTGCTGGCATCTAGCTGTTTCATAACAGCCTCAAGGATCTCCAGGTCCAGGTCCTGGGAGGCTGAGGCACTGGGGGCTGATGGGATAGCAAAGTGGCCCAGGATGACCCCCAGCCCCAAGAGGGCAGCGGCCCCCACCACCCCCCCAAGCACCTTCACCCACTGCATCCTGTGGCGTCTTGGCCAGCTGGGATGGCTCCTTATAGATGGGGTGTCAGGTCTAGTTAACCATTACCCCATGGATGGCCCTGCCCTTTGGCCCCAAGCTGTCAGGAAGAGTGAGGGAACATCGTGCAGGGAGGGCCAGGAGATCTTCACTTCGCCTCAATTTCTGTATCATTCACCTGGAAGAGACCTCCAGGGACATCTAGTCCACACAGGGACACTGAGGCCCAGAGAGGGACCAGGTCTCATCCAGGGTGTCCCAGTAAAACAGAGGCCAAGCCAGAGCTGGTACTCAGAGAGCCCCTATGTCCAGGGCAGGGCTGTGCCTCCTGCCCACCATCCCTGCCTGTCTCCTGGGTGTCATTTGATCTCCGGCATACCTAGCACTGGCCGCTTGAGCAGGTTTTGAGTTCAAATCCCATCCTTCCTAGACATAAGCTGTGTGACTTTGGGCAACTCATGTAGATTCTCTAAGCCTGTTTTCTTAGCTGTCAAATGGGAACAATATAACCTATTTTACAAAACTGTAGTGCTGTTTTCATTACACAAGACCACGTCTGAAGAAATATCTAGCCCAGTGTCTGGAACATACACTGGAACATACACAGCTCAGTACATTTTAGCCATTCATCTGACCCCCTAAAATGCAAAGCCTAGAGCTAAAGGAAGAGGGGGACCCAGAAGAAGTCCCTGTATCTAGCCTGTAGGAGTCCCAGCTTATGGGAGGAAGTAGAACTCTTAGAAAAGAAGGCTGTTCTAGAGGACAGAGGGGAAGCCCATACTTCTTGGCAAGGTGACTTCCTCTTCCATTCCTTGACCCTATCTGGAATCCATTCATCTGTTCATCCCTCCATCTACCTATTTATCCACCACACACTCTCATGTTCATCCATCCACCTATCTTCCCATCCAACCATCCACCCATCCATCCATCCACCCATCCATCTACCCACCTACCCACACATTTATCCACCCACTCTCCTATTCACCCATCCACTCCCCCTCCTAATCCACCCATCCTGTCACTTAAAACCCACAAGCATCATTCATTCATTCAGCTCTATGTTACATCCATGCCAGGCCCTGGGGAAGCAAAAGTGTCCAGGAACTCAAGTCCAGCAAGGGAGACAGACAGACCTTGGACTCAACCATGTGGTAAGTGCCCCTACAGAGGGAGGACCAGTATGTTCCCAGTGGGGAGAATGGGGAATCCTGGAGGGAACATTGGAGAAGGTCTTCCAGAGATGAGAAGGCATTCAGCATGCAGAGAAGGCAAGGGACCAGCCACCTGTGCAGATGGCCCAGCATGTGCAAATACTGGGAGGGATAGAAGGGAGAGGGAGAAGGAAATGCCAAGTCCTCAGCACAAGTACTGAGCCTCTTCCTGACCTCACAGAAAGCCAGGCAGAGCTGAAAAGGTCCCTGGGGCTCAAGCTGTGACTTCTCCCACCCCCTCATGTCTATCCTGCCTTGGTACCCAGCCAGGCTGCAGCCCATTGGTTGGCCCAAAGATGCCTGAAGAGCTGAGGGAGCTGGGCCATGGTGGACTTGAGAGAGAGAGAGAGAGAGAGAGAGAGAGAGAGAGAGAGAGAGAAATTTCACAGCCCCCTCTCAGAGCAGCCCCCTTCCTGCTCACAGCCCCACCTGCCCCCTCCTCCACCATGTCCATCTTCTCTTGTGCTGCTTGCTGGTCAGGAGGGTTTGCATGTTAGCATGGATGGACTAGAGATGGGTGCAAGTGTGTGTGGAAGTGTAGTGCAATCAGTGACTTCAAGGACGCGCACCAGGAAACCACCTGTTCTCGGTGGGATGATTATCAGCAACCAGGATCTTGACCTTGGATCTTATCAAAAGCCTGTCAGTGTGAGGAGCACACACATGCTTTATGAAGACTCAGGAGGAGAGGCACCACCAGGCAGGCAGTGAGACGCCAAGGTCAGCTGATAAACTAAGGAAGAAACATGGTGATAACACCATGAAGCAACAGCTTTATTGTAGTGTCTGCTTGCTCGCGAGCCATGAAAGAACTCATGAAGTCAGATAGAAATATAGAAATATAGAAGATTTATTAAAGTAAGAGAAAGGTCACCTGGGCAGAGTCTGCAGGAAACTACTGCCTCGATTCTTTGTTTGGTCTCAAGTTTTACATTTTCCTGTAGTTGGGGGTGGGGGAAGGTGTGGTAAAGCTGATTATGGCAACCTTTGCATACGTTGTGTAGATTTAAGTTGGAGTCAGGAGAGAGCTAGTCCCATACAGATGCAAAACCTCTCCCAAGTAACAAGTCCAGCGCTGGGCCTAAGTAAGTAGAAACACTGAAAACTGCATAGCAAATGTATAGGAAACAGAATCATTAAGAGGCAAAGAAAAGAAAGCTTTCAAAAAGTCCCAAGCTAAGTTACACTTACTAATTTGAATTATACCAGAGATTCAAATCTCAAAAATAGAAGACTTAGTGCCATCATTACAATCCCCTCTGTCTTAACATTTATGGTCCTGCCCTACTCCCTTCTGAAAGGATTTAGTCCCTTGAATTTATGAAATCACAGACAGGACATCGGGACAAGAGTATGTGACATCTGACTCTGCCTGAGTGTAACATCTGTGTGTGTGACACCCGAGAACTCTGGCTCAAGCTGTTGGAGCCAACTGGTGTCTACACTGCTGTAAGCACCAGACATTAACTTGATCAGTTTTCATTCCCCCATCTTAGGGGGCGGGGGAGGGGGCTCTCCCTGAACATTCTGAACATTTTGAATTGTGGATGTTGATGGAAGTCACTTAAGGTAGCTAATGCATTTGACTTCCCTTTATCGCCCTGCCTCACTCCAGCGATCAGGCTGACTTAAGTTCTCCACTCTCCCTCACCTCCCTGCTCTCCCAGCCCAGCCATTCTCCCACCTTCACTCTCAGCCAATGACCGCACTTTCTATTTCACTGAGAAAATCAGAGGAAACTTCACCTCTTGAGGTACTCACTGCCCCCCCCCCATTTCCTTGGCACCCACTTATGGTGTTTAACACCATCTTTTCTTTTTTCTTTCTTTTTTTTTAGCTGAGCCATCCTGCTACCTGTTGGCATTTTTTTTTTTAATCTGAGCCATCCTGCCACCTGTTGGCAGCTCAGCGGCTGCTCAGCTTGGGCCAGGACTCGAACCGCTGTTGCTCAGAGCTCAAACTCTTGAGCGAGCTCTTAACCAACTGAGCCACTCAGCCGGCCCTTAACACCATCTTTTCAAACTCGCTCGGTTCTGCTTGCTCCTCCAGTAATTATCCCAATTTTCTGTTCCCTTTTATGATAAAACTCCTGAAGTACCATCCATGTTTGTCCTCAATTCCTTTCCTCCATTCTCTCCTGAGGCCACTCCAATTCAGGCTTTCCCCACCACTCCACTAAAACTGCTCTTGAAAAGGTTTGCTTGGCTCCGCATTGCCAAATCCAGTGGTCAGTTCTGTCCTTTCTCCTTGTGACCTGGCAGCAGCCTTGGTCACAGCAGATCATTTCATCCTCCTTAAGCACTTTGGTCACTTGCCTTCCAGGTCTTCATATTGCCCTGTTTCCCTCCCCCTTTGTGGCTGCTCCTTTTCAGTCTCCTTTGCTGGGTCCCCTTCATCTCCTGACCCCTTAGTGTCAGAGTGGCCCAGGGCTCAGGCCTTGGGTCGCCTCTCCATATATACTCATTTCCTAGGCAATCACATCCAGGCTTATGGCTTTAAATTCTGTGGTAGCCAGTCCCCAAGATGGCCCCAAAGGATGCTGTGGAAATTACAGTGTGACTTCCAAGACTAGGTCAGAAAAGACATTGTGGCTTCTGCCTGGTTCCCCCTTAGGTCGCCATGTCATGAGGCCTCCCACAAGCTATGTGAGTGGAGCCACCTTGGAAGTAGGTCCTCCAGCCTCAGATTGCAGCCCCAGCTGACATCTTGACTGCAATCTCTTGAGAGACCATGAGCCTGAGCCAGACCACCCAACCAAACCATTTCAAATTCGTAACCCACAGGAACTGTGTAAGGTAATACATATTTATGATTTTAAAACGCTAAGTTTTGGAGTCATTTGTGACACAGCAATAGGAAACTAATCCAAGTTACCAAATGCAGATTGAAAACCTGCAAACTTATGCCTCCAATCTGAGCTCTAGTCCTGTATTTCCAGCGGCTGCCTTTGCAGCCACACTTGGTGATCCGGAGTCAGCTCAGACTAAATATGCCCAAAACTTAGCTAAAATTTCCTCCTCCCATAGGCTCCACTTTAGTTAACGGCAGCTCCATTTTCTAGTCACTCAGGCCAAAAATCTGAGAGTTATGCTTTATTACTCTTTCTCTCACACTCTCCCTCAAGTCTATCAGTAAACCCCGTTGGCTGTACCTTCAGAAGAAATCTGGAATCCATCCTGGCTCAAAACTCCATCATCTCTCTCTTAGATGAGAGCTTGTTAGCTGGTGTCTCTGATTCCATTCTTGTCCCCTTCAGTCCATGTTCAGCACAGCAGTCACACAACCTTGTAAAACACAAGTCAGGCCATGTGATGACTGTGCTCATAGCCCCCACAGCTCCCAATTCACTACAGCGGCCACAGAACCCCTCGGGTCCCCTACCTGTCTCCTGCCCTCTCCTAGCTCACTGTTCTGGCTTCCTGGAACACAGTTCCCCACGTATCTTCAGGGCTTCTCCCTCAGGCGAGTCCTCTACATCTTTGCTCTAATGCCACTTCTCCTGCCACTCTATCTAAATTGCATTCCTTCACTTCCCTCTGGCTTTCTCTCCCCTCTCCCACTCCGTTTTTTCTCCATTGCCTCTACCACCATCTGGCGTTTCATGATTTCTTGTCTACCCTCTTAGAATGTAAGTTCTACTGGGGCAGGGAGCTTTGTTTTATTCACCACCGAATCTCCAGAGCCCAAAACAATGCCTGGCACATAGGAGGCACTGGACAAATATTTGTGGAATGGATGAGAAGCTGACCTGAACCAATCAAGCGGGCATTCGGGCTCCAGCGGTCTGGTATTTAAGGAGTATCCAG